AATCAGAGTACAGCCATGATAATGAGATTTAGCAGGACCAAAAGAACACGCAATTCAGTAGGAAATGTGCGTAARTCCATRAGTTTCCGTAAGTAGGCCTAAAYACGCAACTTTCTATATATAGGGTGACGTACGAAGGAGGGAGACTACGAAATACGCAAGTGTCTGTAGTACGAAGATATAAAGTGTTGTAATACGCAACAGCAAGACGTACGGAATACGCGAGTGTCTGTAATACAGAGATATGTATGAGRTGATGTACGCAACAGGGAGACTACGGAATACGCAAGTGTCTCTAGCACGGAGATATATATAAGGTAAGGCACACAACAGGGAGACGTACGGAATACGCAAGTGTTTGTCCTACGGCCGGAGATATGTATGAGGTGAAGTAGGCAACAGAGAAACATACGGAATACGGTAATCTACGTGACCCTTACTTGAACAATCAGGTAGRCGCGATCGTCCATCAAAATAGTTAATAGCATTACGCCAGCCCTCAGAGTGTGAACACATGTAAAACTTCTGTCTGTCTGCGGTTATAGCGTAGCCATCATTGCAACCAATCGAGCAGAAGACGCCGCCGTCTCTCCATGTCTTGCACTCCTTGAAGCCGTTAAGAGGAGAGCCAAYCCGACATCGTTCAGCTTGGAAAGAAAAGTAAATGACTCGTTAAAAGACGTCGCTTTTGAACTAACACAACAGCTAATATAACAACAAAATTTTATTATTCGATCGGTTCACRACATTGTTTAAAGGAACTATACTGAAAGATCCCGGGGAGGGGAGCGAGGGTCAAAACAAGATGAGAAAAGCTACTCACAATAGACAATAACATTGATGTTGCAGTCAGCGGTATTCCCAGCAGCGTCATGCGCACGTACAGTAAGGTGATGTGTTCCCCAGGYTATCTTAGTGACGTTGCCAAAGTCAACTTGAGTGACACCAACATTATCACTGAAGTTGATCCCAGAAAAATAAACACGACTTATGTGTTGTTTAGTGATGAACGTAAAGTTAGTCTTGCACTCAACCACTTTAGGCGCTTCCTCGTCTGAATAGTATAATCTATAATTAGATTTCTATAGCTAGTCTACAACCCCATCCCCAACCACTCCTCCCTTAATAAACGTTTTACCTTTGACAGTCACGTGAAAGACACAACTACTGGTCAAGCCAGCAGCGTCAGTTGATTCGTATCGCACCACGTGTTTGCCGGCTTTAAAGTAGTGAGGTGAATTCAGTCCTGGAGGATTGATGGTGATCCTGGGATTTGCATCCGCGTTATCACGTGTTATGGGCATGGTCCAGTTGACCAGCGCGGTCGGTTGGCCTGGGCTGGTAACTCGAGTTATGTCATCGGGGCAGATGAGGAAKGGTGCTTCATTATCTGAATGAAGCAAAGGAATATAACAATGAACCACCGAACAATTTAAGTACAGACCCCTAGACGATATCAAACATTAGTATAAACATACTAATGGTCTATCACTCACATTGCGCTGTGATTGGCTACTCTACTAATGGTCTAATTTGTGATCGACCACTCGCGGGGAAATCAAAATAAATATATTATAAATTATAAATTATTTTAAGGATATTTCAATTTGTTTTCATTGTTTGACCGATTAGTATGTTTATACTAAAACAATTAGACCTTTCGGCCTCGTGGACCACGAGCTAATAGTCCATTCGGCCTCGTGGACTCGGACTCATGGGCTATCAGCTCGTAGTCCACTCGACCTCGAGGTCTAATTGTTAATTATCAACTGATCATGTAATTAGCCTGCGACGAAGTGAACGAATGGAAGAATAAATGGGAGGGATTGAAAAATGGATGGATGAGAGAACATGCATGAATAATTAATAAAAGAACGAATGGATGGAATGATAAATGAATTAAAATAGAAATAGATGAATTCATAAATAACTGGGATGAAAGTATAAATGAATAAATTTAAAAGAYAAATGAACAAATGACAGCCAAACCTTTACAAGAAGTGGGAATTCTACTCATTGTCCACATTCCATTAGCTTGRCATTTAGTCGATGGAGGYCCTTGTCGAACRAAACCATCTGATACGTCGCAGATATACGTACATGTAACACCGTACCGAACAGGTTGGGTTTCGTTATTACATTCCTGTGAGTCAAACTTTCCGTGTTTGGGCTTCAGTGGYGGAAAGCAAGTGATAGCTGTTGAATTATAACATAGAGATTGTATAGTATATATTTTCTGTTTTGTTCAAATATAACATGATTGAATATGTAGAAGTAGTTTGTTTCTCACAATAATAATAATGTTGATTATAATAAAAAATAAAGAAAATGTAGCGACCTTATCAATTCGACCAGCTATCGAATAGATCGTTTTTTAGAGGGTCTGAGTTGCCGCAAACATCAGTACCTTCACACTTTGGTAACTTAGCCATCCAGGAGCCGTTGACATGGCAATGCATCCTTTTGTCGCCGTTCAACTTRAAGCCTACGTCACAGGTCACGTTACACACTCCACCAGGGATGTTGTGACAGTCTTCGTCRACTTTGCCATGCTTRAGCCAAGAGATTTCGGGACAGCGGTTAACTATAATGAATATGTATATATATAAGCCTTCATTAAGGAATAAAAAGCAATCATACTGTTACAACTTRCAATAGGTCGAGATGAAATACTAGGAATCAAGGGAAGGTATATAAGGAACTGGAAATGATTGGTTTTTCAATGATTTCTCGGCCTTTTACCTCCTTCACAAGTTTTGTCATCATCAGATTTTAGCTTGACTCCGTTTGGACATGCGCATTTGAATCCTGGCAGAGCTGGCACCGGAAGACAAAGATTGCTACAGCCTCCATTACGCTTACTGCATTCGTTCGTATCTACGAGTTGATTATATAAACCACGAGTTAATCTTAAGAACTATTGTCCCATTATTTCGTGCTAGTCAAAGTGTCTTTACTTTAATTGCTTTAAACGCTTTTATTATATTGTATTAAAGTGATCTAAGATATTAACTAGTACTCTATAGTTGTGCGGTAGCCGTGTAGTTGCGTCGAAGCGATAAAATCAAGTTGATRAAAATTMAGACGCCGTCCCGAGGACTACATGCTGCTCTTTCAAGACGGTGCACGGAAATGTAAAGAAGACTATCTACTTCTTAATTATGTGGCTAGAAATGCTACATTGACAAAAAAAAGTGCAAAATATAATACGTGTTGKTAAGAAAAAAGCAGAAGTGCTACTACACGATATCAAAAACATCAGAGGTATAACACAACAAGACATGCGCTAGTGTATATATTGCCGGTATTTTTTGTTGTTTGCGGTGATGTCCATTCATGCTTTCACAATAATTAACAGGCCAATTATCAAGAGCTTCAGCCAGTTTAACATGCTTTCTTTTCWACATATACACTACTGTCCGCTACATGTATTACAAATCCATTCTGTTCGCATGCAAGGTCGTCCCTGGATAAGCAGCCAAGCCAGCTGAATCAGGATAAAAAGAAAACGTGCAGAAACAGTCGACTTACAATTGTTTTGGGATGCAAACCGTTTCCAAGAATCTAAAAAGACGAAATATCAGCATTGTAGGAAGGCATTTATCAATAATAAATGAACAAAATTATTTCAGTGATGAATGTTTGAAGAGCAAAAAGCTGAGAGTTGTSAAAGGTGAAATGTTATGAAYGTCACATCATTCATTTTGTTGTCAGCGGTATTCTTGGATTGCGCATGGACTCGCAAGAATGCTGTAATACATGTAGCACGCATGTGCGAACGTCTCTTGGCTGTCATAGTGGACGAAAGAGAAGAAAACACTTTCTGTTGTGCGTGAAATGTCACTAATCAAATAAAATTATGTCATAAACCTTATACAATCGTAGCCTCCGCCGCAGACGGTCCGTGATGTTCGGTTTCGATCTAACCGTCCACTGGAAAAAATCGCGCGCTTTAAAGGTTGTAAATTTGATGTAAATATGATGTAAGTGCCCAMAATTCTKTAAATTTGATSTAAATGATTTCCATTAAATTWACAGAATTTTGGACACTTACATTATATTTACATCAAATTTACAACCTTTAAAGGGCGCGATTTTTTCCAGTGGTCTACAATGGAGGCAAAATGAAAAAATGCATCGGAATAATAATCGATCGTCTAAATCGGACRTTATAATGACTAATTAGCCGATACGTAACTTTTTAGCCGATACGTAACTTTAAGAAAAAAAAAATACGTAACTTGGATGATTTACGTAAATGACAGACCGTTAGTTGCGTATGTCAAAGACCAYTGCACAAAGGCAGTTACTTAACTATATGCCATTGCGCAAATGAAGATCGTCGCTTAAATGAAAGACAGGGCTTTACGCAAATGTTAGGACATTACATACATGATTTGGCGTTTCGTAAACTATATTCCGTTGCGTATAATAAGATGTTAGGACATTACATACATGATTTGGCGTTTCGTAAACTATATTCCGTTGCGTATAATAAG